TTTGACCAAAACCGTATTCCCATTTTTTCACCCTAAAAATTGAGTTTTTTGGCTGCTATACCAAAACTAATCGTCAGATCGAAGAACGCCATACCTCGTTGAACTCGTTGTTTAATTTCCAATCCATTGGCATTAAAACCTGAAAATTTTTGATTTTTGTCATATTTTGCAAAAAAACACGATGCACCCCCTACAAAAAATCCGAAAATGGGTCAAAAAATAAATTTTCTTAAAAATGATTGGGATCGTTAGCATGGCTAGCAAGCTGTTCAAAACAGTAGGCCTTTTTGCTGTACGCCTTGATTTGGCTAAACTACGGCTGAAAAACGGGAAAGAAAAATCGAATTTTTGACTAAAAAGTGAATCTCGTCATTTTGACCAAAACCGTATTCCCATTTTTTCACCATAAAAATTGAGTTTTTTGGCTGCTATAACAAAACTAATCGTCAGATCGAAGAATGCCATACCTCGTTGAACTCGTTGTTTAATTTCCAATCCATTGGCATTAAAACCTGAAGCTGTTCAAAACAGTAGGTCTTTTTGCTGTACGCCTTGATTTGGCTAAACTACGATTAAAAAACCGCAGATAAATTGAGTATGTTTGACTAAAATCTCAATTCTACTTATTCGCATAAAAGAACAGTCTTCTGGATGCCATAACGGAAGTAAAGGTCAGAATGAAGAGTGTCATACATCGTTGAGCTCGTAGTTTGATTTGTAATTTAATGGCATTCAAATCTGAAAAAAAGTAAATGCGAAAGCGAGTCAGTTAACCTTACATTCAGACAGAAATTCATGAGTTCTTAATGTATACATTAGTCTAGGTATCGTGTTATCTTTACCAGAATCCCCTCCTTAAGTTAAGCTAATCTGGCTGCCAATTGCTACAGATTTTGCCCTTTCAGTATCGACATTTGCATAATCAGAGCAAAATTTGAGCGCAGCCATAGGAGGAATCGGTGTGCAGTGGGTGTTTGACTTTCATTATGGCCCTCCAGCAGCTTTAGGACTTCCCAATCACAAGGGCCAACTTGCCAGGACTCGAGTGTATCAATTCGGGCGATGCCTTCATTTATTCCATTTTTTCTCTTTTTTTGCTCTGCCATTAGCAGGCAACGTCAAGCTGTCAGACAGTCGAAAGAAGCCCTTTTCGATGGGGTTTCGTTTCGGGATGCTCTTTGTTTTGCTCATCGAGAGAACATTTTATTGCTTTATGCGTTTAATGAAGTGTTGCTGGGCACGGAGGCACTCAAAATCTACGACCCTTGGGACCCAGACAGCAACCCTTCGCTTTCACTTTTGGAAACGGGGATCCAAGACAGCAAGCAGGCAGCATATCAAACATTTCTGACAGTCTATGACATTTGCCGGAGGAGTGACTGTGACTCACTGACTGACTGACTGACTGATTGACTGACTGACTGACTGGCTGATTGACTGATTGATGGACCGTCGACTGCCTTCGCAACCAAGCAACCGAGCAAGAAAGACCGGTGTCACTCACTCACCCACGATGCTCGCATGTAATGCATAAAGAATGAAGCTTAAATAAAAGTTGGGAGATGAGAAATAGGATTAACTTGTCACACAATTGAATTTAATTTTCATACACAACGAGGGCGGGCGAAAAAGCATCTGGAAAACCCGTCCAGACATTGCCCCCCCCTCCCCAACCATTCGCTTTGGGGAATATATAGACATCGACTCGGCTCGACTCGACTCGAAAAATGCTTTTGTGGTAATCCCCTGCTGAAGCCGATTCGGGGTTTTTGTAATGAAATTACACGAGCCTCAGATTTGTCAAAGCAATCAATACACCCGGATGTGCAGCCTTCGAATGAATGGACTCCCATTGGATGGGCAGAGATCCTTGATGAGCCTCTGCCATTGAGCCCACGTTGGGAATAGTGGGGCTAAAATAGCTAACAGAAAAAGTGTATTTAGTCTTCAGGGAAATTGAATAGATTCTGTATGATCTGGGCTTGAAACAACTTTTTTGGCTTTGTGGAGTATATTATAAGTTAAAAAAAATATTCTTAAATGAGATCTACTACAGAAATGAAAATATTGCTTACGAAAAAACAAATAATTGAATAAATAGATTTTCTTTAACCCAATTTTTGCGAATTATGCATGGACTAATAATATTTGTTTCGCATCCTTCACTAATTTTTACCTTTTTAAATTTGTTGATCTTTTTTTGAGGAAACCGTAAAGTTGTACTACAAAATGTGCTCCTTCCTCGAAGGTGACTTCCCCCGACCATCCTCGAACCCAACTCAAAGGCTCCTTTGACAAGTCCCCATTCGCCTTTCATTATGCACATCATCCATCAATTAATTGACTGCACTCCATCGCCATCGCCTCATTGCGTATGCCGCTCACACGCCGCTTGTATCTTTGATTAGCGAAAACAAAAGCGAAAGAGTGACGGGAGTTCATTAACTGTCACACAAATGTGGCAATGGCAGGATGCAAGTGGAGTGGGTGGGGGTTAAAGGACACTGGGTGGGTGATGGTGGTGGTGGTGGTGGTGCAGCACCCCATTCTATCCATATGCTAGCACTCACCACTCCGATCCTTTTGGTCGGTCCAACTTAATTAAATAGCAACAGATTCGAGGGGGCGGAATCCTTTTGGTCCTAGAAGTTAGCCAACAATCACATCCTCGCTTACCTACACACGGAGAAAAATTCAGGATACATAAGACGTATTTATATAAATTAAGAAAATACATTACAAATTAAATACCAAAATAAAAAAAAAATAAATTAAATAAATATTGGTGCATATACAAAAACACATTTATTACCAAAAACCTCTTAATCTTTTTCAGCTATGAAATACTTAAATTTAAATTTCTTACTTATGATAATTTATTGGAATAAAATAGAAAAAAGTTGCAATTGAATAATGCCTACATAAATCATTATTGCTTATCATATCAATTAATTAAATTTTAATGCTGTGTTAATCAATTATTTATATCTTAAAATATCATTTAGGTCCTTTAAACAAAAACAACAATTAATCAAAAATTGGCTAATTGCTGCACTTAATCAAATTTTTTATATTAAATGCAATTTGTAAGTTATTCGAACTTCCATCTAAAGCTTAAAATATCATTTTCTTTTAGCACTAATGTTCCTGCAAAATGGCACAGACTCTGCGTGATTTTCACAGAAAATGTGCTGCCTCCTCTGGGAGAAGAGTATCCTTCGATATCCTTTTTTCGCGGTGCAGACCCTCAATACCACCGTGGTGCACATAAAAGTTTCTAATCCATTTGCCCGATACTTATGCACGCCTGCACTCGGGGGATTAATAAGTGTGGCTGTTTGTAGTGCCACCCCAGCTCCATATATCCATCTTCCAACCTCCATCTTCCCGGTTTCGGATCGGGATCCGGATGGCTTGTTTCAACCACCGCCACCGCTCGACTTTGCAGCCAAATCAATTTCAACTGTCAACTGTCAATCAGGCCGCAATTCAATCACGCAACGTCCTCGGAGAAAATTCTCAAGTTAGAGTTCCAGTTCTTTGGCGCGACGAAGACAAACTTTAAGGAGAATTGGGCACACACCACAACACTTGCCTGAATTATTCAAAGGCATCGAAATCGATGGAAATGGTAAAACCCCTGCCCCAAAAAAACCAACCCACATGGGTTATTAATGTTTTGACTCCAAAAGGCGGCGAGTCACGACCAAGAGTCACAAACATTTGTTCAAGAGATTTTTATGAATTACATCGTTTTCTTGTGGGGTGAAAGGGGGGGTTTTTGTACACAGATTTTTATTGGTATTATTGCCATTTACAACTCGGCACCCGTTCCGTTTCGACCTTGCATATGCATTACTTACCCCACAACCCAATCGCCGAACCGGGCTGGAATCCCTGGTAAATTTCGCAGTCAAGACACATGTCACGTACTTTTCCCGTAATTATGGCAAACGTGAGAAATTTCGTTAAGATTTTCTTAACACATTTTCTTCTGCTTATATGTGTATGTATTTGCCGGGGCTGTGGCATAATTTTAGGCATTTTCCCGGTGGCTTTTGGCCCAGTCATGCGGTACAGTCGCCACAGGCATATGGTGACCCCAAAAAATACCAGCTACAAAGATATTGCCCCATGGGATCAAGAAAGACTCTTCAAAGGTAAAGCCAAGTCCCAATAGGTTTTAAAAATAAGGAGACATTAGTTATAATTGTTAAAAAAATGAATATGTATTAATATTTCGTATTTAAATACTATTTTGTGACTGCAAGTTGTTGCAATTGCTTCATTAATATGCTTATTAATTCATGGACCTTGGCAACAAAATCCTTGATCAGCCGCCTTCTCTCGGATGAGGTGTTCGTCACATTCGGGGATTGACTGGGCAAACTCCAGGCCGCTGCCATCATCACTATTTTAAATAATAAGTCAAAAGGTTAAAGTTTCCTTTGTCAGCTGGGAAAGAGATGAAATATCTTACCAAAAAGCAGGGCAATGAACAATAACTTTTGGGCTGACATTGCGGAACTGAGCTCTTTTCAGGCACTGGGCCCTACATAAATAGTCCGAAATTCGGTCCTACGTGGACTTCAGAGCCTCGTCAGCTCACGTAGCTGAGATTAATTTCGACTTGGTTTTTGCATTATGTAAAGCCTGAGCTTTCATGGGCTTGAGTTAGGCTCGAAGATTTTGAAGGGAACTTAAATTTACACCAAATGATTTTGAATGTCCTTAAACTCTAAAAAAATACTTAAAGGGTACCTTTTTTAATAAGCTTGTACATTTTAAAAAAAATTAAAAAACGTACTAGAAATGTAAGAGCTGAGCGTTATAAGTCTTATGGTCTGTGTAACAATGAACTGTCTATTTAATTATAGCTCAAATATATTAAATGATTTTAAAATCCTTAAACCAACCTATGAATCCATATTCCTAAGAGATTATACATGTTTTTAATTAATTTTGAATCCATGGAACTTTATTAATAAACATATTTTTTAAATGCTCAAAATGTTACTTTATTTTCAATTGAAATTTGACAAATTATTCTAAATTTAATACGCTTTCAAACATTTTTAATCTTGACAAAAAGTTTCCTAAAGGATAGCGAGGTTTTAGCCGGTAAGTCCTGAAACTGGCTCCAAAACTCCGTGCTGGCCGCCAGTCAACGAGGGAACTACGGATCCAATGGCGCCATTGGCAAGTCCACCACTAAGTCCACCGGTAGCTCCACCGAGAGCTCCCGTAGCTAGAGGACCAACTGCTCCCAATGGTCCACCACCGATCAAATCGAGGCCACCAGGACGAGCATCAATAGTGCCCAGGTAGCAGGCTAAAGAAATAAAAAATAATTGTATTTAGCAAAATTGTTATCCTGTTGGTCAATGGGACTACACACCGCACACAATGAGGGCCACGACGATTGATTTGTTGAACATTTTAGTACGGTTTGGATGTATCGACTACTTGACTCAACTCGATCGACTTCGATTTTTATAGCGCTCGGGCGGAGAACTTTCGTGGGCTTTGCTCACGTTTTGGCTATCACTATCTAGAGCGTGCTTTACGATTATCACGGGTTCGGAATTGCTGCTATATAGTACTATATACTACATATTACGTCATATGGCATCTAGTCTTTAAATCGGCTTAAAATGCACTGCAAACAAAACATCGTTTAAAAAGAAAATTTAAATTTAAATATACATATGTAACTCTCTTTAGTAATTTTTAAACATTCCAAAATATATATATCTATTCTGATAAAAGATATTTTGCTTTGGCATGTATCAAAAAAACCTTTCGCTAAAGAAATTTTCTTTGATTTTGTTTGTTTTTCCCTGATCTTGCACTTCTCCTTGTGTAAAAAGATTAAAAATACATTTTCTATTTTACTTTATAAACTGGGGTGGAAGCCCTTAACAAATACTCTTCCCATATTTTGTTTTCACTTTTTATTTGCATTCTGTTTTAGCGAATTGTTTTCATAATATTTGGCATTTCGCCTCTCATCACGTTCCAGCTAAATAATTACATTTGTAAGCTTTCGAAGGGGGGGATTGGAATGACATGTAAATACATAATTAAAATTCTGCGTTAAGTTTCTTTTTATGGCACCAACAATTAAACAATTTCCATTGCATTCGTCGCTTGTTATCAGAGATAATCGGATGCTGTAATATCTGTTTAAATCGCTTTCCATTTATTCATGTTTTTATTGAATCACTTTTTATTTCTCACAATTAACTGGAATTAGTAAAAGTATTTTGGTTGGGCATAAACGGATTGCCTCGTTAGTTAAAAGTGTTTTATCCGGAAATCGATTTGTTCAAACGATTATAAGTTAAATAGTTTTTTCTTTCATTTAAAGCCAAATAATGTCATTTGCAAATGTTTTTTGTTTCGTACATCCAACCCCTTTAATTAAGTCATTTGACCATATTTAAAAATATCTATGATTTTAACTAATAACAGAATGTTGGTTAGTTCATGTGCTTTTAAATTAGATTTTGATAACTCTGTTTAAGGCGGGCTTAAAAAATATGTAAGAATTAATTCAATCTTTTTATATATAAATAATAATAACACAAATAATTAAAATACTCAGATTGAATGACTTGTAAATAAATACATTAATGAACGCAATAAAACGCATCGTACTTCAATACCCAGATCTAAATTCATTAAAGAACGCATTGAAACGCATTGCCCTCAGAGGCTGTTATCTGTTTGTTGGGTTTTGACCAACTGTTCTCGAAGTTGTCCAAGATTACGTGCCCGGTTGTTAATCGCATGCAAGATGCATCCGGTTGCTATGCATCTGCTCGTAGTACATATTTTAAAGCGTTCAACAAGTGTAAGCCACTTCCGGAGACGGAATTCAGATGCCGAATCAGAATCAGAGTCAGAAGGCGCCAAGAAATAAATCCGGGGAATGAGAGTGAGAGTGAGTGGCAACAGCTGGGCCATCGAGATTGGAATCGACTGAAGACGCGATAAGTTAATCGGCAATCGCACGTACGGAGCACACGTTTCCGGACGTGGTGCCAGTGGCCATCGATATAAAGCTGGACCATCTGAGCACTCAGAAAATCAGTTCAATTAGCCAAATTTATAGAGCAGTACGCCCAGCCAGAGCAGTAAGCCCAGACACCAACGACTTAAAGGCTTCCATTTAGGGCTAATTAAGGAAACGGAAAGGAAAGCAGCACGTCGACAATGCTGCCGTCACGTAAACATTTAATTGCCTTCGTTGTGGTGACAACATTAGGTAATTAGTGGTGGCTCACATGACTTCAACTTGGATGCTAATTTCTCGCCCATTTTAGTCGGCCTAACAGTGGGTCAGGAGTCCACATTTCTGGCCTCGATCACCAGTTCGAACAACACGCTTCAGTCGGCGAATGGAACGAGCGTCAACGAGACCATTTCTATTAATATTAGCGAAATAATTGCAGCTGCTGAGGCGGCATCAAATGCCACAGATTCCTCTAGTACTACAGAAACTCCTTCGACGACTACAGAAGCCACATCTACTTCAACAGCAACTTCTGCGACATTAACGACGGCAACAGCAACATCTACAACATCAACAACAGTACCAACAAGCACCACATTAACAAGTTCAACAACTACGCAAGCAGCAGTTACCACAACCACAGACACATCTACAAGCACACAATCGACCATAAGCACCACACCAACTACCACAAGCAGCACTCCTACAACAACAACCACGCAAGCTTCAACAACCACACAATCTCCCACAACAACACTGCAAACAGTAACAACAACTACTCAGACTTCAACAGCAACACCATTATCCACAACAACAATCACACCAACAACAACACCACAATCCACAACAACCACCGCTCAAGTTTCAGCAACTACTCCACAATCCACAACAACCGCACAAATTTCAACAACAACACCACAATCCACAACTCAAACTACAACAACAGGCACATCAACAACAACTCAAGCTTCAACAACAACAACACAATCTACTTCCACAACTGCACAGTCTTTAACAACGACACCACAATCTGCAACTACAGCCACTCAAAGTCCAACAACAACAGCACAGCCCACAACAACAACAATACAGTCCTTAACAACAACACAGCCCACAACAACAACATCACAACCCACAACAACAACTCCACAGCCCACAACACCAACCACTCTAGCAGCAACAACCAGCACAGAAGCCTCCACCACAATTTCAGATAGCACTACAATTTCAACAACAATTGCTGATAGCACTACCATTTCAACAACATCGACTAGCACAACACCACTTGCTTACACCGTTTACACCGTTGAACCTTACCCGAATATTTTTGGCCGATTGAATGAGATTGGCAAGCCCCAGCGAAAACTGCGCAAAGGTCGTCGGGGCAGGAGACCCCGTCGCCGCACGACCTTCTCACCAATGACCTCTAGCAGCTCCACCAGTACCACCACAACAACAACAACCGCCAGGACGACGCTGAGTGGCTTTGATGACTTTAGCGAGGACTATGAGGATCTTGTCCTGAACTCGAACAATGTACTGGAACCATTTCCGCAATTGCCTCTCGATCTCGGAAATATCGACAACAACAGGATTCACAAGTAACCGATTGGTTGCACCATCCTTCAGGAGACTGAGACCAATTATTGGAGTCCCATATTCGTTAGTTTAGTTTAGTTATTAATTTTAAATAAAAATATTCTTCGCAAAATGTCATTCCCATCGCCATATATTGTGTCACGTGTTGATATCAGAACTATTTGTTCAAAGATATCAGTGAACTGTCATAAAAAGGTGATAGGTGTTGCCAGCTTTCATATCATATACTTATGCTAAGCACAAAGAGCAATTTGATAATTCAATGAATTTACGTCATTTATATCTTTATTATTATCAAAGCAGAACTAATTTGCATTAATGTTCGTATTAATTTGTATTATTCGATGGTTAAATTCAGATCAGTTTAATAAAACCATTTTATTTAGATTACCAATTTCCCTTCCCAAACCTTTGTGCCCACTCTATGTTTTTGCCTAAAGTCTCCGTTTTATGCAACACATTCCCAACTAGATAATCTCTACACAACCACAGAAGATAATTATTTTTGTGTGGCAAGCTGACAACTCAACAGCAATACATTCCAATCTGGTGAGCCTCATTAACGTGGCAAGTTTGAGAAAGCAAATGGAGTAGGCGAAATGGTAACAGAAATCCCAACTCCGAAACTCGCAACCTGAAGAGAAAATGGGGGAGAAACTCATAAAACACAAACGGACAAACAGGCAAATAAACAGTTGGTGTGCAATTAATTTGGCAAACTGTTTGCCCGGCACAAATATTTGTACACATTGCAGAGTCAAAGGCTCCGGCTCCCCAGCTCCGGTTTCAATGGTTTCCCCGGTTACCATGTGCATGAGGCGCACTAAACAAATACAATTTAACTTCCACTTTCAACACATCAGCAAAAACATGCCGGTCCACCACCCACCCAGATAATGGTCGAGTCAATTAGCAGCGCCTGCTTTTCGCCAGTCGCCAGCCAGCGCATTAAAATCTTGGCCAGCATTGCCAAAGTACCCCGAAAGTCTTTGCTAAATAACTGCCAGACTAATCAGAGTGACAGCTGACCAGGGGACCTACACTGGGCGAAAAAATTGCATTGGAAATGGGCACAATAATAAGGGGTTGATATAATCATCATCTCTAAAATCTTAAGAAATCTGAGGACATGAACGAACTTGTTCTTCCATGTTTTATAATTCCCAACTAGTTTCAGCAGTAAATTTAAAAGTATTATTTTTCTTGGTATAATCATCTTGAGGAGGTTAGCCCTTTAAAAATCTTGAGAAATCTTAGGACATGAATGAACTTGTTCTTCTATGTTTTATAATTCCCAACTAGTTTAAGCAATAAATTTAAATTAAAAATATTTTAATAATATTGGTATATATTTTAAATTAGTAATAATTTTCTTAATATCGATAAAAACCATAAACAAATCTTAAATAAATAAAGAACAATTTTTCTCACTTTTTTTATAATTCTCAACGGGTTTAAGCAATAAGTTATGAAATATTACCCCTAACTTCGCTAAAGTTTGACATTTTTGTATTAAGAGGCTGTGTTAGTTATCTTCTTATTTTTTATTTGAGTCCAGAATATTGTTTCTTTCAGTGCAGGCCGAGCATTGAACCCAGTCGAAACCCAGTATCGCAGAAGGCCCAAATATGCCGCGAGCTTGATAGATTGCTCGTCCGAAATGCACGTGCTTATCGCAGGGGCCAGGCAGGCAGCACGTGCTCCCAGATGCAGTGGCTCGGATTTTCGGGTTATAAGTAGCCAGACCATCTGCTTATGGCCAAACAGAAACCAAGCGAGTCTCTGGACTTCAATCCAAGAACCGAAAGCCAAAAGACAATGCTGAGATTCGGACAACAACTAATGCTGCTGGCGATGGCCTGTTTGGGTGAGTTTTAACAAGGAGCCGCAAAGTGGAACAATGGCTCATAACTCTGTCATATTTTGGGGCATGTAAAAAATCTAAAAAAACACTCAAACCACAGCTCTGCAAACGGCCCACGGATGGTTGCTGAAACTGCCCAAGCTGGAGGCGAAACTGGAGAAGGACGAGGCCATGCTGGACTGGTTGGAGGGCAAGAAGCAGGCGGAGCTGCTCAAGAAGCTGGATTTCCTCAATTTGTTCACCGAGAAGGAGGAGGCCAAGCTGGAGAAGAAGGAGAACGAGTGGGAGAAGTTCAAGCAGTGGTGGGACGAGAAGAAGGAGAAGGAGTTGTCCTTCTTCGAGGCCAAGAAGGAGAAGGAGCTGGCCTTCTTCGAGGACAAGCTCTCGAAAAAGCTGGGCAAAAAGAGCAAGTCCAGGAAGACCACAGCGAAGCCCTGCTATGGCTATGCCACCTCCAAATATTATTCTGAGGAGGTCACCGAAGCGGAGGAGCCGGAATCCGAGGAAGTCACCGAAAAACCCTACCGAAAGAGCTACGCACCCAAGAGCTACGACAGACCCACCTATTCGGTACCCACAATCTACGATGTGAGGGACGATTCGGCGGAGGGTGCACGCTACTTTACCTGAAAGGACCAGGCTAATTGGCTCGGATGGTTGGTTGGTTGGTTGGATGGACGGATGGATGGATATTTATTTATTGCATTTTCTTTGCTCTCTCTCATTTTGACATAATTACATTTTTAATAATATAATTAAAATTCACATAGCTGAACGAACGCCCTCGCATCGGTTTTTGGAGTTTGGTTTCGGGTTCGGGTTGGGTTTTTTGGTATGGCGCTTGTTGCCAGTCTTCAGCCCGCCGCCCGCATATCATTTGCATATAAATTGAATTCCCCGCTTCAGTTCAGTTCGGTTTGGTTTCTTGTCTAGGATTCGTGTAGACAGCCAATATTTTATACATTTTATGTTTGCACTTGGGTGTGAGATGTGCGATGGGAGGTGTGAGGTGTGTGTATGTGGTTTGGATCCATCATGCCGCATACCAAAACAGACACTAGCTTCCGCATCCGCATCCACATCCGCGTCCGTATCCGCGTCCTGTCAGCAACACTTCATCCAAACTGTCAGCTGGTGGCTCAGTGACACATTGCGCCCATTATTTGCATAAGGGGGATTCGGGATTCAGGATTGGGATCGAGTGTCTTTGGCCCCACACCAAGTGGTTTATCCTGTCATTACAGGTGAGAGTTCAAAACGAAGTTTTAAAACTCAGTCCTGGTTAGTCAAGGTCCTGCCCGGGCGTTAGTTCACTTTATTTATCTTCTTTTCATTAAGCAGTCATGTTTAAAAAAAGAATTAAACAAAATATATGTAAATAAACTTAACATGGGCTTTACTTCATTGGGCGTTATTGCGCTGGGCGTTATAGCACACAACCAATTGTTCTGTAGTCATTAATAAACCATCAAGGGTTCCTCTGCTTAGAGCCTAATAACACTTCCTTAATTTATGCCTAAATGACTGGATTAATTTCCTAAAACCTAGCGAAAAAAGGGTCTCCTTTGTAGAGTCCACATCCCAACAAAATGTCATAATTTAATATATCAAACCCTGACAGTTAGTTAGTTAACAATCAATCCAATGCCATAAGGCCTTAACTAACATCTATTTTTTCTTGCTAATTGAAGCTGCCATGTTTTATTAATAGCCATCCAATCCACTTATTCGCATGAAACATTTCCATTAATTCTACTCAATTCCAATTCAAAGCATTTTGTTTGATACGTTTTAATTTCAACCTTTATATGTGCACACATGCACAGATTGAAATTGTAAACATGCCATTGTGTAAACATTTGTGCAAGTTAACACGTAAGTTTTTGCTTTTACTGCACTAAAGAGGGGAAAAAGTCGAAAATTTGCTGCACCGAGCACTTTCCATTTCGTTATATGTGCATGTTGAATTTTAGCAAGCTCGGGCATCTTTGTTGTTTTCATTTTTTTCAGTAGTTAATTGTTTTTGCATTTATTGAATACGTTTAAATAAATATACACACTTGTGGTTTATTATTTTAAAGTTGTTTGAATTCTCTTTTAATTCATCTTATTTATTTATTCTCAGGTTACAAGGTTAGCTGAGGTTTATTTGCACTTTTGTCTTTGTCTAGATTAAATAAATAATTTTATTGCCTTTACAAATAATTCATTGTATTATTTTTTCGAACCTTAAAAGGATAAATAAAATAAATCTGGTTATTCAATACTGGCTTTAAAAATTATCCCCTCTTCCGCCAATTTTCCCCCATCGAAAATGCACATATCTGCCACAGAGTTGCGAATGTTCTTGTGCCATCTATGAATATATTCGGAATATTCGCTGCACTGACATGGAAATGCTTTTCCAGCTGTCAATGGTGAAATTTTGGTTATGGGGTATCCATTGCAACATTTGCGAAACCAAAAAACTGCCGAGTATCCATGCCCATACATCCTCCTTACCAGCAGCTAATGGTAATCATAATAATAATTCTGGTTTTTGTTTGTTTTTCACCTTCAGATGCTGAGGCAGCAAACATTTTCGGGCCAAAAGCATTTCATGGTTTGTAGCACTCACCTTTTATGGTACGAGTGTGTTTGTATCTGTGTGAAGCGGTGGTGTGTGTGTGTGTGTGCTCGTTTTTTGCACGGGCTGATTCACCTCGGAAATTTTGTACCATGAATGTTGATTTGCCCATTGAGTCGTGGCATCGAGAGCAATTAAAAATCCATTGCGTACTTTCCGGCGCCACTCGCTTTCACATCGATAACCCGGGCTATCGATCAACCGATTCGCTGAACACCCTCTGCATATTTTTGGGGATGGTCTCCAATGAGTTTCATCAAGAAAGGGCATTTAAAGTTCGTATAACTAAGTATTAGTAAAAATATAACCATTTAAATGTGGTATTCTTCGGAACTACAGTATCTTCTATAAGAAGTGCTAAGATCTTAACATCCTAACCAACTTCTAAAGAAAAATTATTATATCTTTGATGCTCCCATATAGGATTATAAATATTTCAAAAAATGTGATATCGATTTTTTAATAATATTTTTCTATTGCCAGAAACCTTTTTACTTCTTGAAATGGTCGCACTTCTTACTTAATAATTATAAAACTATGAGATTATCCATTTGCTAGAACATTTCTATTTCGAATGGCGATTATTGAATCGACTTTCACTGCTATGACAAAGCATTGGATCAATCGACTTACTCGATTTATTGGGGTCTTGTCTTCGGAGAGTTTCCCTGTCCCATAGATAATCATTGAATGTGGACTGGGGCAGTGGGACGGGGGGTAAACTATTATTATTATTTTCGAATTGCGATTATCGGGTGGCACTGGCACTCCTCTGGGAACTGACTTCTCCCGAGGTCTGGACTTCGGCGGCCAGTTCTTGTAATTGCAAGCGACAAAAAGAAGACCAAACTTTGTTTATCCTTTGCCCGAAAAGTTTT